AGCCACATCATCTTGGTTTTCTTATCTTCGATTGACTTTTTCGTACACATTTTTGATTGAATCATGATGCCATGACACCGCAGGGAGTATTTGATTCTAGCTCCAGACCGAGTCCATCATGATTCTGATTATCTGACTTCATGGTCCAAGAGAATATTTTACTATACTGCATTTCCATTTCAGCTGACGATTATGAATTTAGATGACCATTCCATATATTTACAAAATTCTCAGTTTAAAATAGCCTTCATTATCTATGGAAGAGAATGCGAATATGTCATATTTCCACACGTGTTTTACGCTTGCCACTATTTTATCCTCTATTTCTTTTTATTCAAAGGCTCTAGCTCGTAATCTGATCTTGGACGCCCTCTCTGTGAAGCAGCCATCGGGCAACAGCTTGTTCTCTCCATACCGCGAATCGCTCAAGCGCCGAGTGGCTGTTCGTATAAATTCGGTTGAATCTGGTTTGGCTGAGACGGATCTGGACTTCTTATTCAGTGGCCTCCATCGGCAGCTAGAATCCTTTTCTTGTTGGCAGGGGCCAGACTATATCTGTCTTCCTAAGATGCAATCTTTTGAACAACTAAAGTGGGTAGGTTGAAGGGTCTCTGCTTCACTTCATAACTGATCTTTTTATAGATTAAATTTGTTATGAAAATTCCTATTTTCTTTTTTCATATTTTGTGATTTATAGAGCCTATCTACCTATATTCATGGCGCCCATAGTCGAACCAAATGTAAATCCACTTGTGAATACCTGATGCATTTTATTGAGGTTATCGAGTCCGCTGATAAATATTTTATCTACACCACTAGGCTCGCTTCAGGTCTCATTAAAAATTCAGGCCACATGTGTCTTTACAGAAACAGACAAAAGTCTGGCAAATCCTCTTAGTTTCCCATCTAATATAAGAAATCTCATCTAAACTCGATTATTCTTGGATTGGGGTCTAATTTATTACTACTTATTGCTTTGTTCATACAATGGGAACATAGCCATCAGATGGGGCTCAGCAACTAATAACACGTGAATCCATCTATCCTGTTTGTACTGTATTTGTGTGATTTAATTTATGCTGAGCCATACTAATATGAAAATAGGGAATGTATTTGAATTCAAATGAGTTCGTTTGCTTGCTTGTTTGGTCTGAATATCATTTCTTTCTTTAATGGTGAAAGAGCTACTTATATATTTTCGGTTTATAAGTAGGATTTCGAAATTATCAGTAAATCAGATATATGACGTGTCCACCCTATTTCGCTTAAGGTCATGAAGGACGGGCAGTGGAATTTTCCTAAATTCTGGATTCTCATGTTTATGGGAGACTAACTTGAAGCTATAGATCTCCTTTTCACCGTTCGACATAAGCACCGGGTAATTCCTATCGCCAAGCTTTTACTTCACGGACCACGTCTATGGTCAAACACGTCTACTATTACCCAACTATCTCTAGTTTCCGTCGTATCTATCCTGCTTCTATCCCTAACGCCAAGTCTATGATTTCCCATGCTCTAGTCTCTTTTTTTATTAGGTTCATTGTGGACGTCTTCTCTTTATTTTTGATTGTTGCTCTGTGGCCTCTGCGATTTCTCTTCCTCATTTTCAAAATTTTCCCTTGATCTTGTCTTCTTTTTGTTTATCTTGCTGTTGCCTGATCTTTGTTGAGCTTGCTTAGGCAATATGCATAGTTTTCGCTAATCCTGCCTTCATTAGATTTAGCTTCAGTCAGAATATTGATAGCCTCTCGTATCTTGCTTTTTTTTGTATTTTCACCATATACAACCAGCCTTTTTGTCGATTCCCAGTCGATTTCGTGTCCTGTCTGTGCATTGTGTTCCTCTATTTCGGATCTTTCCGTATTCATGTTTCTGCAGAGTCTTTGGTGTTCCTTGATTCGTGAGCTAATTTTTATTCGTGTTTTACCAATATATTTTCGATCATAGTTGCCGAATTGTATGGGATAAACTCCCGAGCAGTCAAGTTTGTCAACCTTCTCGTGTTGCGTAGGCAGGCTGATGCAGAGTGTTGTCATGTCCTTTGTTATCACCTCAAGTTTTCATTTTCTCAATAAGGGTCGCAATTTTTGACTCAGCTCATATTAGGGCAGCCATATCCACTTTGGTCGTCCTCTTGATTCCTGCTCTTATTTTCATAATATCATAGTTGAAATCTGCACTTTATGGCCTTCATATTTCTTTATATAAATTTAATGGGGTACAGGTTACTAAGGTATAACCGAGTGAGCTTGTTCAACTTTTTGTCCCAGAATTATATTCCCGTTAGTCTTAAGCTTCAGTCTGGAAATTGAGGATTGTTCCCGCTTGTGATTTATTTCTAAATAGTCTCCTCTTGGGTTTTCCGTCTGAAAAAATGACCTCAACATCCAGGAAAAGTAGTCGCTTATTCTCCTCCAATTCCATTGTGAATTTAGTCCTTTCATCAAGTTGGTTCATATGGTTGAAGAATTCATCTAAATTTTCTCTACCGTGCGACTTAAGTACAAAGTAGTCATCCAGGTATTGCATAAGCACTCCTCTTTACAGCGATGACGTCTCAGATTCCCCTTCCAATTTGTCTATGTAAACATTTGCCAAAAGAGGTGAGAGTGGAGATCTCATCGGTAATCCAAATATTTGCTAATGAATATTGCCAATCGATGTTAAATATGTGGTACTTAGTGTCAGGTTAATCAGTCATGTTAACAGTCTCTTCCGTATCCGCTCCGCTTCCGGGATATCCTCCTCTCGTTCCAAGATCTCTTGCAGGGGGGTTATCGCCTTCTCGCCTAAGATGTTTTTGTACATGGAACGCACAAGTAAAGTATGATTGCTGTTTGATGGAGTTGACCAGGAGCTCATGAGCGGGACACAAGTCAGTACAGATAGAGATAAAGTTTCTGTGGCAGCGAAATGTGCATTTGCTTTCAATAAGTTGACGCCTTACCAACCCAATTCAAAATTACGGAATTACAGACTCTTAAATTAAATTAAACTTTGATTAAACCGCATTTCGTAATATCTGTGTAAGGTTAAAAGTAGCCTCTTTCACTGCTATGCGTACAATG